TATTATCTATCTTATAATGCATAGATTATATCAGTGTTGTTACTATTTTTTTCTATAATACACGTCATGTTTGCTGGCAATTACTTTTAAAATATAGGACATATAGGCTCAAAAGGACTCGTATCCAAAGCCGTAAAAACATTTACAAAAAAAAATACAGGAAGGATTTTTGATTTGTTGAAATCGTAGTACGTTAAAAGCTCATAGTATTAATGACTCATACAAAAAATATTATGCATTTTTTTTTTCATAATCTTTGAGTATTTGTTAATTACAATGTATTTTAACATAGAAACACGTGCTGTGATTGTGAAACTGTTGATAGTGCTAACTATTTAGGACAGTGCGACATCATTCAAATGCTTGGGATGAGGCCAGCACTGGATCGATTTGTTGCTACAATAAATTGTATTTCATAGCTTAGTTATTAATATTGGTGATATAATGAATTTGAAACCGAATAATATTTCTATGACAGGTTTATAGATTGTTGTGCACGAGAAATAGCACTGAAGAAACTTATTAATAAAGAAGTTTTTAATTAAATACGAGGATGTAGCTTATGGAAATAATCTATTGATTAAAAATTCAAATAATTTTTTCTATCGTAGTTCAAACAAATTAAAAAATATATGACATTACGTAGGATTTTTTCCAAGACTAATAAGCAATATGTATGTTATAAACAAATAAACGATAAGTAAATGACTCACTTTTAACATTTTAAAAATAACCGATAATATTATAACAATACCAAATTTACCGTATACACATAAAAATTCATAGCACGTAGTGATTTCAGCGAGCTCTTTGTAGAACCGAGAATAGTGATGTGACGTAATTTATACAAGGTAAATTAACGGTATTTATAAAAAAAAATGTGCCACCAACATCATTATTTAATATATTTCTTCTAACAAAACAGTTATCGTTTATTATTCATTTTAACTAAAAGCAAGTTCACGTAAATGACTTATTGTGAAACATGATCTATGGTAATACAATGAAAAGTAACAATGGTATCGTGGGAAGAACAAATTGGCGAGGGTCAAGTGGCCACGGTTGGTGGAGTTTACATCATAATGCCGAGATTAAAAAAATATACATTTAGTATACGAACTCCATATTACGATCTTTGTTTACATTCGCGTTAATGAACACTGTTACTGGAATATTTATTCAATGTTACTTTAATTTAATAATGATAAAAAAAAATACAAATTAGGTAATTGTGGCTGAATAAAAATTAAAAATGTATATAATTTATAATTTTATTGTTTCCGTATATATATACATATGCGGAAACAATAAAATCATTAAGTATATTTAATATAAAGCAAACAATACATATCATTAATATTTTCATATATGTATATATAAACTTTCAATGATCTAGGTACATTTACATTTCCGAACAATTATCGTAAATTAAACACTGAAAGTATACGTCGTCTGACCTTGGTATTTGCTAGTGACAAAACAGATAATGTTATCGGTAAAAGGAAATTCCAAAGATAATACCACAATGCCAGCATAAAACAAACAATAATATTCGTATTCTTAGAACGGTTACTTAGTTTAAACGATTACAGTGACGCGACGCCATAATCGAACTTGTCATTATTGAATTTAAATAACTTTCACTGTTCGTGAATCTCACTTTCCCGCGTCAAACGATAGTGTTCGAACAATGGGATTTCCGACACTTAGTACTGTTGTAACTTAAATTATATATACTGTATACATATTTATTGTTTCATTGAGTGCCAAACCATGTACTATATTAAACGCAGACAGCCATATTGGCTTTTAATCAAATATTTTTTAACAGAACAAGAAATGCAAGTATTTATAGCATGACAGTGATAAAACTGTGAGACGCTCAATAAGAATAGTAACATAAATATTATATACTACAAATATTTAAATGATATTTGTATGAAATACGTATATTTATTACTTTTTCAGAAACTACATCGCATGTGTTAATTTGTTGAATGTGTCAAACTTAGCAATGTGACATATATGGCAGAATGACACAGACTAAAAATAATAAATACATTCAATTATTCTAAATTTAAAAACTTTTTTTTTTCGAAAAATAACTGATACCACAAAAAATATATTCCAATCTGTTTATTCCCATGGTCTTTAGCTACGTTATTTTGGTGTAATTAAATGTTCGTAGCGTTCTGTTATACATTCGTCACGGCAGCTAATGTTTCATGATTCAAATACGATAAATAATACGTAACTCGTACTACGGATACTAAATGCGGGTTAATAATTTACTTTTACAAGTTTAAATGATTATTGTGAAAGAATAAAACATAGCTACACCACAAATATTTCTGTATGTATTATTAACAGCTGTGTAAAACAAACGAGCCAACGCCCGCGGTGCTTCTGGCCTAGTTCCTGTATTTTATTTACTTTGCAATTCAAACGCGAAATGGATTCTCAATTTCAATCAGCGTCGAGCAATAGAACAACTAGAACAACTGGGTCAGATCCGCTATAACCAAGATGACGGTAAATACGTAATATACACATTAAATTTTCGTTTCCAATTATATTTATTATTAATAATAAAATAAATATTAAAAACTACAACTCTAGCTAGCCGTTGAGTCGCAATAAAGTTTATAAGTATCTGAATCAAATAGATTAAAAATAATGGCAACAATAAAATGAATATACATTTTTAAAAAGTAAGAAAACAGCCGTGCACGCTCCAAAGACGCGGGCGCAGGGCCAATGAACGGTGACAGGTGCCAGCCAATCCCGATACAGATCACACTCATTTTACATGGCTCACATAGAATTTACGAAATTATGTTATGCATCCCTCTCTCAATCATTGTTATTGCATTATGTTAGAGCGAGAGATAGATAATTCTACGAGATAATATTATGTTTGGCTTCGTTGTTTACAGTGTAAACTTTCCTGCTTACTATGATAATGCATTTGTACTTAAGATGCAAAATTTAGAAAGTACTATTCAACAAGGACAGAAATGACGTGAAACAGACGGTGTTACCATATTTTGGAAAATCATAAAAAAATATTCATTTGTTATTTCTATTGTTTTGCATGGCAACACCGATGTATCAAAAAATGGTTTAATAATATTATTTAACCCATTCCACTAATAACTTATAACACATGTTGCCCCGGTTAGTCGCTAACTGGTCCAATGTGTTATTTACAATGAGCTAAAAAATTGGCGCGCGCCCAATGTGATCACGTGCCAGTACTAGCCTTCTGTAATACAATCTCTAGCTTTTGAAATATACATTACAGAATAGATGAACATCTGTTTGCTTAACAACGTAAGTTATATTTTCGGCAAGTCTGTGCACACCCGTTAAACGATTTCAAATAATATTAATTGTTTATTCACTTCCCTGCAGTCGTCTTTGAATAAAACATACTAAATCGGCTGTAAGTAAATCTTATTTACATGTAACTAGACGCATTTTAATCTTTATTGTACTTAAAAAATTATGAGTGTCATAGTAAGATAACATTTTTTTAAACTGATAATAAAGAAGAAACATGAACAAATCTCTTCGAAAAGTACGACAAAGACTATTTAAAGACTAAAGACTAAAAAGATACTTTTATTGCATTACCAAAACATAAAATATACGTACTTTACAATCTATCGCATGTCGCATTACAACAGGGCACTGAGTCGGGGAATACTGGAATGTGCTTAGCAAAGATTTGTTTAAGTCGTCCACTACTGATTTATAAAATGAAATTATTTTTCAATTTGTACTTAAGTTTTAAATTTTATTATGTTCAAATGTCCACTTGTATCGGGATTTCATGAAAACCTTATACCTTATACATTTAACAACAAAAAAAATACATATAATATATGTATTCATATTATGAGTACGTCATAGACATAGGTAGCAGATATCCTGTCGTTAATACAACGACATTTGAAAAGTTAACCGTGTGACCCTGACACAGATAATTCTTATACCGTTCTCTAAGATCTAATTGCGGGGTAATGAGAGTAGATTAGCGATAGGAAACGGATGACTGAACAAGGAAACGTGTCCAACAGGTCGGTAACGGAAAACTTCGAACCGATTTACTTATATCAAACAAGGAAGCAACCTAAATTATTCTATTTAGCTACTAAAAAAGCGACAAATGTTTAAAACTTTACACTGATGACAAAAACGTGATTTATACGAGGAGAAAATAGAAAATGCAACAATATGAATCAGAGTCTTATCGTGAATGGAAACGTGATCGGATACGGTGATACAGAACTGATAACTGCTTATTCTATTAACCGATTTAAAATCAATTCCACAGATAATACATAGATAAAGAAATAGTTAACTTTATCTTATCTATGACTAGGACAATATAATCTGTATGGATAAATAATAATTATTGGACAACATAATTATTGTATGATTAAGAAGTTTATCAACAGAAATATGCAATTGTTGGCTGTATGTGTAATACATTTTTTTTTATCTTTTGCCATAAATGAGAACTATTTAGTCTATTTCGTAACTGCATTTCTTATTTCTGTTACAAGCTATTTTCAAGTCAATCAAAATTTAATTTTCGTTTTAAATGTGAATTTTTACACTATTTTTACGTTGCGATACCTACCAATAGATTTTTTTTGTACAAGAAAACTTGAAAAAAAAATGACAGAAATTCTCATAAAATAATATCCAGCCTTTTTTCTGTCTAACGTAAATTTTAACAATAATATCATAAAAATATTGTATTATTAGTGTAATAAATACTTATACGTATTCATTTAACCTCGTTAAATAAATAAAAAATATCACTACTTTTATGTGCTAAATCGTTGTCAAAAGGAAATAGTGTTATACAATAAAATAAATTAGTCCTTTTCATTGTTTAATTATTTCGTATTTGTTCTCTAAATTACGACATAGTAATGAATACGAACCTACCTACATAAGAATTAAATACAAAATAAAAGCTGGCTTACTTGTGTAAACTGCGATGATATTTTTGAATGATCCTCATGATAGACCTTGCGGGCCTTCCGTCTTTCTATCATCAATGAATTGAGACGGTCCAACGCCTTGGAATCGAGGGCTTCAACATTGGCCTTGATCAGACGGCTAGTGTTCTCCCATTCTTCGGTCATGGTGCGCCAAGCAGAGGCAATCACTGAACCTAACAGAAATTAATACAAATTAACATAAATAACCTTATATTAGGAATAAATTTGAACTTTTAAACTATACCTCAACACATAATGGATGTTTTTTGTCATTCCTGTTTTATTAATATACATATATTTCGTTGATTTTTAGTTAAGATGTAAATCGATTTATTTAAATTTTATATTATGCTTGTTAACCAATTATTTTATTACATAATCGACCATTCAAATCATAGCTATTCCAAAATCGTATGTTTCATTCTAATAAACAAGTTTTGCAAGAACAAGGTATCTGTGTTATTATCTCTTACATTTATAATACTAACATCATTTTTATAATACATCACATCATTCGTAAATTTGCATATATAATGATTTATTAATTAATACTTAATATTTTATTTCATTTTGATATTCAGCTTATATTTCGTTAAGTTATATCATATACAATAAATAGAGTAGATTATGTTGCTTTTTATATTATTTTAAGTCAATAATCGAAATCCAATAAATTTACCGTTCAGTTCTTCGCATTTGTCCATCTTTTGTCCTTGCGCAGCCGCAGCGGATAGCGCCAGAGCATATTCTCTGTCGCTTTTCATCTTAGCCTGGAGGCTTCTCTTCATGGTTTCCATGAGCCTCAGCTCAGCATCCTGGCGAGCCAGCAGGGCCTCATGCGCCGCCCGCCCCGCACCGTTCGACGCGTACCCCATTATAAAGCCTACACTTAACACTACACAACACAACAGTCTACCACGCACATCACAACGTAAACACAAACACTATTCACATTTCCCCGTTATCACTGCACCGTCTACGTCATTCGGTGAACGAAAAAATAAAAATTTTCGAATGTAAACTTTTAAAATTAAACGATTTTTATTGTTAGCACCGTGCCGCCGTAATAATAAAAGTCGAACAAAAAAAAAAAAGGCGGCCGATGAAATGAGAATGACGCGGCGAGCGAGACGTCCACACGTTGGCGGCGCACGACTCGAATGCCATCTATCGCAATATCGGAGATCGAGTCATGTCCGTGTCTGGCCCAGTCACAGGATAAACACGGCGGCTCTCCACAATACGGAACAAGTTTTTAGTACTTGCCATCCAGATCCCATTTATATTCAGTTTATTACGTGAAAGAAATCGAACCCGTCTATGCAAAGACGCCGGATCGAGTTTCTGATCCTTTGTTCATCCAATAAATTATTAGTTTTCTACCGGAGATACATCTTAACCTAAAAATAACGATATAATTTAACACCACGCTGAACGAGGTGTTTTATTTCGTTTTGAGAGTTGGATCATTGAACACTACTTATATTATGATTTTTGTCCATTTATTACTAAAAGTCATAGTGATAAAAAATGTACTTCCGTACTGGGAAACAAAAATAAAATTTGAAGTTACAGAAATAGAACATAATGTTATGTAAAATATGTGTTTGTATTATTACGTAGTGCCGTAATGATTAATTCTAAAAATTACCGAACCTTTACTTAAATAAAAAAATATAATTTATATGTAGAGGCCCCAAAATAAATATCAATAACAAATGCTGTCGTTAATTAACTTCTATTTTATAAATTTAGATTATGTTGGGAATTCCATAATAAACTACGACGAAATGTATATCTAAGTATAATATATCAAGCATGACTATTTATAATTGTTTACATATTAATTTAAATATTTATATATAAATAAATTTTCAATTAATCTGTGTTAAAGGTTAATTACCTTCTCATATTATTAGGCTCAGGCGCTTTAATAATGATGCAATTTGGATGCAAAACGTAATAACAATTTTAAAATTCTTGAACATAATTGTAAGGGAATTTATAAAACAATTCAACAATTTATAAAAAAATTCTAAAAATAAAAACGCGAAGTAAAATCCGAAAATATTAGTTTCATTTAAATGTGTACTCGCGAAAATCTTAGATCTCATTAATTTATAAAACAGATTTTAGAAAGTAAACGTTTTATCTAGGGTATTTATTTCATCAAAATATGTAATTCAAAACAAAAGATAAAAGTATTTCGTAAGTTCGTAATTACTCCAGATACAATTACCAGGAATCAACAATATCTTGTTGCTAGAGTAATAAATACTTATTCACTAAGACTCCTTCAGAAAGTAAGCATTTCGTTTTAAGATGCTTGTGACATTATTAGACTACTTTTTTTAAAAAAGTCTTACACTTTCGCATGACAATTTTAAGTCAGTTACACGGACTGAAAAAAAAAGGGGAAAAAATTTAGTTTCCTTTTGCACAAATTTTAATTACACAACAAATGTAGCTGTAATGTAAACTAAGTAACAAAATTTCTATAATTGAGTTGAAACTATGAGGGCTGGCCTTTAGTTTTTGGAGTACTTATCTCTAAATAAGAGTAAAACAAAGTTAAAAAGAGATAAAATATATTTTTAATGAAAGAATAAAATACAATGCATTCAATAATAAAAGTACCATTTATATACTATCGCTTTTTATAAATGGTACTTTTACAGCGCTTTAAATTGTAATAGAGCGGCTGTATTACAGCGTAAAAACCGATAATATAGATTATAGAACGATAGTCTTCCTATACTCATTAATATTTGTCAATTATCTGTTGCATTATTATATATGTAAATCTTGAGATCATATTAAATTTTCATGTTTATCGAATAGCTGAGACGCAATGAAAATTAAATTTCAGATAACACGTATTTTATTTTATTTCCTAATAATTATTTTAGTTTACAACATAAATGTGTACTAATATCCCCAAATGGCTAAGGGTGTCTATAGATTATAGTTATATACCTTAATACGTACCGTTTACTGATTTGTCGTTTTAAATCATAATAAAAAAGAAATTTTAATTAGTTATGAAATAATAAAATAATAATTTTTTTTAATGAATTCAATTTACAATAATAACATAATAATCAGAAGTCGTAACAATTGTCCTTGCTAAATTAAATTACTACATTAATATTGCTAATAAAAAAATATTTCAATTAAAATTACGTTAGTGTTTTTATAATATATTTATTCATAATTTTTTAACTCACTACGTTTAAAATAATAATCATCTAAAAATTTTACTTTATGGTGGTAACCTTGATGAATGTGGTAATATTTACAATTAGTATGGTATACCCAAAGTTATAATCTGTGCTATCAGTGGCAACACTGGCCCCAGCCTTGTAATATGGCCGCTGCAGGTTAGTTCTATTAATTTTGTCATGTGTAAAACTCTCGATTTCTCTTAATTTTACTATAGATTTTTTGTTATTTTTGCATGAATTATGTTGATTATTGTTTACGCCATGTAAAAATCAGTTTTCGTAACATTCGAGTTTAATTAGGTAATGCTAACGTGTCATCAATTCACCTCTGCGGACGTTTGGATTTACCGCGTGGCCACATTTCTAACTTTTAATTCCTGTAACTTTTTCTTTGTTCCATAAAGTCTCACATTATCTATATTATTTTTATCAACATGCTAGTTTACTACCAAGTAGAGTCCTTTCAATATCATTTTTCTTATTCCATGAATAACCACTTTCCAAAATCGGTGTAGGTCGTTCACTCGCTATGCGTCATCTTAAATTGCCCTTTCTGTCCTTACGAGCACAAAAAAGTCCATTATAATGTGATATTTCAACTGACTTAATAAAAATGTTGTAGGCAAGAAATCAAAGAAAATAAAATGGATCAAAGCCGACGCCACAAACTTTATTGCGGAGTCAACCAATATCCCAACAGCAAACAATTGGGCGGACTCCGTAGATGATGAACGTGAGTAAATTATCTTTCATTTGCTTCAATTTTATCTATTCATTGTAATTAAGACCCAATGATGAAACTATAAGGGAAATGGCGAGCCAATGTTAATCTCGTACTTGGGGCGCACATACTGAACGCCAGTCGTTATCATCGCCCCGGGAAGGTCTGAGGAAAGGTCTCCTGTGTTTGAAACATTCTAGACGGATGCTTCTCCTATCGGGAAGATGGGGGAACAAGAAAATACAAAGTCAAGTTTAAGCGAGGACGTCTGAACTTTCGGGTTTAGATCGAGCAGAGAATTTAGATTTTGTTGGAAGCTCCCATGACCAGCACTTTTAGTCCAATCTACGAGATGACGCCAAGTCACAACTCAATTCAGACTAGTCTTTCATTGGCTTGCTCCCTTGATATACTGAGGGTTATACAGTTACGAGATTTTAATCAATAATATTAACAAGTATTTCAAATCACTCAGTTTCTAAAGCAAAGTTTAAAGTTAATTATATTAGTCTTAAAAACGAGAATATTGTTAATTATATTTTCTTTCGTAACTACTGTACACATATTTTTTAACTTAATTTTTTTAAAGCATGGTATTATATAACATCAGCATCTAGTGAATACAGTCACAACTAATGAACTATTATGAAATTAAGATAGTATTAAAAATCGACAAAACTAAAACATTTTTTAATAATACTAGGCATATTCATTATATGTACTTGAAAGCAATACAATGGATAGTGTTTGATGTGTTTCAGAGAGTTTTGCATATTCGAGCTCGTCCCGCAACCGCGGGCCGGTTGTACTGCCGTCCGCATCGCGCGCAGCACGTGGAGGCCTGGCTGTTGATGATGAGTCAATACCGCGGCGCCCACCCTACATCGCTCATATATCAAACCTGCCCTATGATGTCGAAGAAAGCGCCATCATGGAGCTCTTTGCAGGACTCAAGGTTGATATTTTAATATAGATCCTAAATTATATGCACTTGCATGTAGCGTTGCCAGGCATCCGGATAAAGCCGGACATAGTTAAACTTTTTGATTGCTTGTCCGGCCAAAATAAACGGTGTCCATCTTGTCCGGCTTTTTGTTAGGCTTTTTAAATTTTTAGTTAAAAAAGTATAATTTATGCCTTTCTTATTATTTATTAAAAATTCAAATATGTTGATAAATGTTTAATTATCTAGAATTTAATTTTGTCTGATTTATAATAAAGTACCTATCTAAGATTGATTTGACATTCGATTTTATTTATTATGTCACTAAAAATTAACAAGATTTATGATTATATTCAAAAAGATTTGATTTTACATTAAAAATATTGTCATACCCATTAATACTAAGACAAAATCCTCAATAATATAGGGTGTACAGCTTTTTTAACCAAATGTCTGGCCAAACTGGCTGGTCTGTCCAGCTATTAGGTTTGGCGACCTGGCAATGCTATTTGCATATTATATAAATCATATTAAGTATAATGTTATGCATAACAATAATTGTGTTTGCCATCAGATCAATAACTTGAGATTGCCAAAGGAGGGAGGCCGTCTCAAAGGCTTTGGTGATGTAGATTTCGAAGACAGGGAGAGTCTTGTCAATGCTATGAACCTACCGGATCTGGTGTGTACACTTGAACCACATAGTCAAATAATCATTTATAATTATAGTTATTATCTAAAGCTATTTTTCAATAGATAATCAGCGGAAGGAGACTTAGAATTGAGGTGTCGAACCAAGACAATGATCGTCGTATGGGCAGAAATAAATCTGATCGAGACAGGTATGTTAATATTGTGCTTGAATGTTAATTGTTCAAGTTATTAAATGTTAATTTATTATAACATTGACTCTGTGCATAAAAGTAGTATGACAAGTTAAGTAACTTATTAAGGTCGTAATTTGTATGATCGAATTTCTTGATTAATCATTACTTTTGTTACTAGTTTTCGTTGTCTCAATAATAAATAAAATTTTTCATTCATAAATATTCACATATGACAATTTGAGTGTAGATTTAAGAAAATAGGAAATGCGTCATATGTAGTATGACTATGCAAATTTGATAATTTATATAATAATAAGGAAAAAAAATTTATATCATTAAATATAATTAAATGTATATAATTTAAAAAAAAAACTATTGTAACAGCATCTTTAAGTCTTTATTTCAAGAATGTTAAAGCCATCACCACATTATTCTATTATGTTTGGAAATACCAATATAACAATACAGGGGTTTTTCAAGGGCAAAATTTAAAATTACTTGCCTGCTGTAGTTTTCTTTGTTTACATTCAGGTAGTGTTATACACAATAGATAATTTCGTTGGTGTCGGCGAAGTAATAACATTTCTCAGAAATTGTTATTCTTTCTCAAAACAGGCATATTTCTGTGGAAAGGAAACCGTTGAATTACATTGAAGTTACAAAAATTAAGTTATTTGGATAGTCTTTTCATACTGTAATATCATATGCTTCTTTAAATTTTTCGTAATTCTTATTTCATTGAAACTACCATTACTACCAGACATTGTTGCTAACATTTCCTTAACTCTTTCCAAGGAAGTTACTAAAAATTGTGTTTTGTAATTTATGTGAATAATAAAATCATCTTAGTGGCATTAATTATATGCATCAAATAGCTTAAAATCCATATGATAACAGAAAAAAATATATATTTATATGGGACTATGGTATTTATATACAAGTTGTTTATTCTAGGGAGTATGACCCCGAGCGTACTATGGGAGACTGGCGTTCTGGACCTCGGGCTGTACCCGAACCAGTGAGGGGCAGAGATAGAGATAGGGAGAGGGACAGAGATAGGGAAAGGGAATGTAAGTATAGAAATATCAAATAATACTGAAAACAACACTTAGTAAGGAGTAGCCATACTATTATAAATTTTTTTGACTTAATTTACTTGATTACATCAAGTGCTCGATACTGTAATATATAAGTGATGGCTTTTGTAAGTCTGTTGATATTAAAACTGCATTTATTCACACATTTTGGTAAAAATGTGTTGATTGCAGTTATTGAATTCTTGTTATGCAATCTTTATATAATGTGTATGTTTTTACTGTTGTATCATGTATGCTATGATGATGAAACGATGGTCGGAGTTAGCTGTAATGTCACACTTGGGATGCACATACGGAGTACAAGAAAAAAATAATACTATTGGCTTTAAAACACCTATACCAAAATTAGTTACTCGATTCATCCCGGGAAGGTCTGAGTAAAGGTCGTGGTGCAAAGTGGTCACCGTTCCTTCTAGCCGGAGGCATTGCTAATAGTGATGGCAGAGAAACAAGAAACATTAACTTGAGGGCTGGTCTAGGACTCATTGACGAGATTTAACCCTTAAAGTTATTGGAATTCTCTGCGACCAGCGATTTTAGTACAATCTGTGACACAGATTTTCATCTGTAACTCAATTCAGACTAGTCTTCGGCTTGCTCCGACTTATCGTTCTGAGCTAGTGATATAATTTATTTATAAACCTGTTAATGTATACTTGTATATATGTAAATGTGTAATTTTTTAATACAGCAAGCGCAGATAATCGTCCGGGCGGCTGGCGGGATGCTGAGCGACCGGAGCCGCCGCGGGCGCCCTACGGCGGCCGGGACTCATATGGACGAGACAGAGAAGGGTATATATTAGTATATATATGAAAAACTAAAACAATATTAAGATAGAAATTAATTAAAAATTCGTCGTCACTATCATAATTTCAACCAATGAAGTTTTAGAATATGGACTTGCAGTTGTTATAGATTCTTTCAAATAGTTATTGCCTGAGAACTGTCCCATTGAATGACCCGTGTGAAGATCCTATCACCCTATTCATAAACTCGAATTTCATATTCAATGGCGGAAATTTAAAAGGGTTAACAAACTCACTATGGTCGAATAAACGCCCCCCTCGTATTAAACGGTTGTTCGAGTGCGTGTACTTTTACTATTGACATAACGGAACTGTAATAGGGTTGATATTTAGAAGATAATATTAAGTCTTGGCTATAAAAACTTATGTTAAACATATGTATAATAATTAAGAAATATTTTTGTTATTTTCAGCGGTCGTGAACGCGGCTACGGTGGTCGTGATGGATTCCGCACAGCAGATAGAGATGGTTATGGGTGTGTGATCTCGTTTTAAATGTAATATTTTTGTATTTTCATGTATTTCATATTATAAAACGTGTTTTCATATCTTAGGAGTCGTGAGGGACGAGGTTTCGGCGGTCGAGGGTTCGGTGATCGGGATCGTGATCGCGATCCGCCCAGAGAAGGTAATTTTTTGAATTCCACTACATTTACGGACATTAAAAATTTTCATTATAATTGATTCAGTTATTATCTGAAAGTTATTTAGGGTTAGATTGAGATTCGTACGGCGCCGAGATTTGAATGTGCATTCTTATAGATTTCGACGAAAGAAAACGAAATGAAAGAATAAAATTATTCGAAATCTCGCTTAGTTAGCGAGATAACGTAACCTAACCTAACGGCTAGAACCTTGTTTTCAAAATATATATATTTTTTTATTATTTTTATATCTTTAAGTCTCGATATTTAGTAAACTGTTCAAATATCGGCGTCGTAAGAATCGTAATCTCTTCTTATTTATGTGGCTCACAAAACTTTCTTGATCTAGACAAACCTCGCGAGCGTCCTAAATTGAACCTGTTACCTCGCACGGTGCCTTTGGAAGTCGAGCCCGCGCCCGCACCACCTGCCTCAGAAGAACGTCCGACAGCCAAACCTGTGCCCGCTGAGAAAGTATTCGGTGCCGCCAAGCCAGTCGACACGGCTGCTAAGTAAATACTATTAACAACGCCATCTATCAACAAGAATATGCGTATAAAGTAATGATTATTATACAATATAATAATCGTTATAGGACTTCATTCCTGATACGCTATAATAAAGCGAGGGTCAACTAGACACCGTGTAGTGTTCTGTACGCAATTCGGTCGCTTTATACCCACAATCATAAAATTAAAATAATATCCACTCACACTAAGATTTGAAAAGGGATATTAAGATGTATTGTTAATTATAGGGAACGTGAAATAGAGGAACGTCTACGAAAACAAGAAGAGGAAGCTAGAAAAGCCGCTGAGGAAAAGGAGCGTTGGGGACGCAGAGTAAGAATTATTAACAAATCAATATAGCTCGTTAATAAACTTTAATATGAATTAATAAAATAAATTATTCCTTCTTCTAGAATGATCATTCTGGTGATCGTCGAGGTGGTCCAAGGCGTGGTGAGTAAAAATATATAAACATGATATACATACAAAGTGTTATAGACGAGTCTCAGATATTAATGTAACTATATTTATATTATAGATGATCGCGACCGCGGCAGAGATTCCCGCAGCTACAACCGTGACCGCGCAGACTACTCCCGTGACGATAGGGACAGACGCGACGGTTCCAGGGACGACAGGGACAAGCGAGACTACTCCCGGGACAATAGGGATAGGCGGGACTACTCCAAGGATGACCGGGACAGGCGGGACTATTCTAAGGATGACAGGGACAGGCGCGACTACAATAAAGATGACAGGGATAGGCGCGATTACAACAAGGACGACAAAGAAAAGCGCGATTACAACAGGGATGATAGGGAAAAGCGTGATTACAACAGGGATGATAGGGAAAAGCGTGATTACAACAGGGATGATAGGGAAAAGCGTGATTACAACAGGGATGATAGGGAAAAGCGCGATTACAATAGGGATGATAGGGAAAAGCGCGATTACAATAGGGATGACAGGGAAAAGCGCGATTACAACAGAGATGATAGAGAAAAGCGCGATTACAACAGAGATGATAGGGAAAAGCGCGATTACAACAGGGAAGACAGGCGACGCGACTACAACAGGGATGATAATAAGGATAGAAGAGACTACTCGGGGGAGGATAGGGATAGGCGGTACAGGGATGAGGGTGACCGCAGGGATGGAGAGCAGGACTCACGGCGGGACGGAGCCGACCGTCCGCGGCAGGAGTCGCCAGAAAGACGCGGCGACAACGACCTACGTAACGGAAGGCGTAGTCGAGAGAGATACGAAGAGGACAGGCCGCTACCCAAGCTAAAGGAACAGGAAAAACCGGTATGTATACACTTACCAAATCAGACATGAAAATCCGTTTTACAATATATCTGTGGCCATAACAATATGTAGTCTAAGAGTTCATTATTTCTGCAAGAACTCTGAAAAAGTAACCAGTGAGATCAACACATGATGTATATACACTTATTAAATCGAACATGAATATTCTTCTCACAGTATATCTGTGGCTCTAACATGTATATAAGAGTTTAATATTTAGTGCGAGATATTTCTTGTGAGAATTAATAAAGATATCTCAAACCGTAATATTTCTGCAAGAACTCTGAAAAAGTGATTTCTATCCTTACGTTTACATATAATGTGAATTAATATTTTTTTGTATTAAATTGTAATATTTATTCTAGATATGTGACAAATATCTTTTAAAAGTAGATTAACATAAATCAATCAAAAGGAGCAACCAATTTTATTTGTTTCTAATTATTAATTTACATAATTTTATTTACAGAACTTTGTTGCATCAAATAAATTCAGCTTCTTGGAGGACGCGGACGACGGCGGCTCCGACTAAATTAACAATCACCGGCGCGCTTCATACAACAGTTTCCGTTTACTGTGACTAGAGTGTAAAGTGTAAATTAACGAGTATCAAGTGTCGATAGTGTCGCACTAGGACTACCGTAGTGCTGCGAGGAACTCATTAGTAATTAGTGAGGTGTGGTGTACGTGAGTTTAATGCTCGTCTCGCCTCGAGCCGGCCCCAGCCTTCACTGTATTCACAGCTTTCATTCACTATTGGAGACCCATACATCTATATTCTCATTCATAATTATGTTACACAGCTTTGTATATAATATAGTGAAGGCTGGGGCACATTAATAGTAACCGTGTACTGATTGGTGTAAATTTTCTATGGGTTTGTTACATTGTAATAATTATAAGTGGGTTACATCAAAATCGGCTAAGAGCAACTAACTATGCGAATTTTTGCTAACATTTTTGCAATGAACTGATTGTTACAGGTGCTCTCCGATTTATTTTTGTGAATAATTTTGTTTTAATTGACATTGTTGTGATGTTGATAACATTTATGCTGATTTCACTGTAATACATTGATTGCATTGCCACCAACGGGAATCCTATTTTCCTTTAGTCTTATACTAAATATTTAGTCCATTTAGAATATTATAAGAATGTTAATTGTATTATTTATCTTTACACTCAAAATTCGTGAAAGCAATCCAAGTGTAATTAAGGCATTGAATAGACAGATTGCGAATGTGCTTTCTGAAATTTTAGTGCCTTACTACATACAAATGAAAAATAGAAATTGAAAGTTACTGTATTATTTGAATAAAGATAGGTCACAAGGATCTACCGCTGTTGTCTTCATGACTTTATATTATTATATATTGTTTGTGTACTTCAAAATTTGTTTGGTACATATTATTGTCGAATTGTGAATTATAAATAAATTACTCTTTTTACAGCCACAAAATATATCTTTTTATTTCTCTGTATATTTTGACGATTGTATTAATTGATTAACGGTTTTATTTTTCATAACGTTACAGTTTTTAACATTTGAAATAATTCAAATGTTATTATAATTTTACCAAATGGGGTGCATAGTAATTAACATCTACAAACCATTTGCATACACTAAAGACAAGAATGTATGATATAATAAATTTTTGTAGGTACGTGTTGAGGGTCTAGAAATAAGGTACAGCCGAAAGTTCATTATTTAATAAAAAGGGATGATGCAGTACGTGAAAAGACAGTAAAGGGACTACTGGGACAGGGTTATCACTTGATGAATAAAATAATTTGAACGTTTAAATCAATAATTTTGTGCATTGCTCCTGACAAAGATAAATGTTTTAAATACTATAATAGATAGATTTTATTTTCATATAAATATCCTTATCCTAATAAATTATTAAGACTATTTTATCGGCTGTATACCGAAATCTTTTCAGCCTCGACATTTTTTTTCTATTCCGGAAACCATGAAAAAACTTCGTAATAAATGAGATTGATGTTTGGTTGACATGTAGATGGAGAACTTTCAGGTGGTGTAAAAAAATTGGGCATAACTTTTTCCGAACTCCTTTTTTTATTGTTAGGTGTCACCGCATCCCATGATGCAACAATATTTTTTTTCCACATTGCAAGATATAAGTTTTCTAAAAACCTCTCAGTTCCATGCCATCTTTTTCACAAGCCTTGTAAGCCTGTGAAAAAGTAATCCTGATATAATAGGCCTTAAAAGACTATAACTCCTTGATCCATCGGCAATAACGACGAAGCAACATATGTTTAAACGGACAGGGACAAAACTTTATTTTGAGTATCGATATCGGCATTACGCATAGCATGCCCTGGAGTAATGTTTAAAGTTTTATAAGCCAAAATATTGTTTAAACAGTGCTGTTTCACTTCAGGAAAAAAATAATTTGTGAACCATTATTCAAACAGTATATATGTAACCCAGGCCTTTGGATTAGCCTTCCATATAACTTGAAGAGTAGTGTTTTTAAGAGTTCGAAGATTTTAAGACCCATATTGATCAAAAAGGGTTTTCTTTTATAACCACTTTTAACATACATACTCAATACCAACGTCAAACGCTCTTTAGCCGCTTTAAAACCAAGCATAAAGCTTTCGTCCTGCGATATAAAAGTACGAGGTATTTTTTACAAAGTAAACCAGTTTCATCCTCTTAAAAGATCTGTTTATACGAATACTCTCAAATTTTGATAATTTACTTCACTATTCCAGGAATACTGAGCAGCCACTTGATCGACACTAGCTTCTGCTTGCACTCCAATGTTAAGTAACGAATATCTCTTTTTAAAGCGCATGAAGGATGGGACCAACCAGACAAAAAAATTGTTTTCGCCACCTTTCTTTTTCAATGTGTTGATGATACTCAGTTATTAATTTCTAATAATGGACACATTTAAAAAGAAGTCGTCGCTGAGTTTAGTTTGAATCCAGATGAACAAGAATTTTTTAACAACTTTTTCCTATTATAGAGTTGTTTGAAGAGTCGGAAGGTAGAGCTGTTAGTTTTTCTTTATCTTTTAATATTGTTAGTACGGTCGTGCGTGATAAATTAAGTTCTCCTTCAATAGACAAAGTCAACAACAGCGATCTTTGAGCTTTAAAATCTTAAACAGTAAACTTAACCTCCATCGTAATTGTCTTTATTACTCAACTTTATTATTACTGTCTTGTTTAGGTGGAATGGTTACATTAAAATTAATTTAAATAGGTATGTATGTAAAAACAAAACTATCAGATGCAAAAAAAATTGTATTGTGTCGATGATTCGTTCTCTTTGAACTAAGTAGGAAAGCAAAGCATGTGTGGGAAATCCCCAACACTACGCCCCATGGACATTGACCTCGCGACAAGTGATTTCTCCTATGCCGGAAATCGTAACAATTGACGTATGGTCAAAGATAAATATTGTCAAAGCATTGTACGACGTAAGTCGAGAACTGACTGAATGACTTGAAGATTTATATCTATTATATCATCGCCAATGGAACAGTTATCGTAATTTATACTACAAAAACCTTTTTCTCAAGAATTCACATTTTTGATAGAGTTCCACCTTCAGAATTTTGTCAACATATTGATACATATTTTTTAATATATAATAAATAGTCAGAATTATGTATTAGATTTTGGGATCCAGAAAGGTATAATGATACAACAAATACAACAAGATGTAATGTTTATTAAAAAAAAAACGATAAATTCTATAACAGTCAAATAACATGCATTACTCGACTGGATATTAAAGATTTAGGCATAGAATATAATTATTTAAGTGTAGATATTGTAATCATAATTCAAGCCAAGCTATGGCTGTGGCAAACTAACACAATTAGACTTAACCATAACTAACTTAAGATTTTAATCTTTTCTAGTGAAATAATTCATGTGTTCATTACAATATACCCTAATAAAACCAATTCTTATATCTACAACATCAATGTGTTAAAAATCCAGGAATCTATGTCAGAGCCAAGAGGCTGACGGATCAGATTCGAGCTATTGAATGGCGCAGGAAAACTCATACATTACATGCTAAAGCCTGTAGTCCTAGCTATATCAGCCAATCTAATATCAAATATCTATTTATATAGACTTTTTTATCTTTTCAATCGTGCCCCGCACGCGACCGCACAGTTAACCAGCCTTCTTCTGGGACACCGCTAACATGAAGGCATCTCGAAGCTTCTTCGTCGCTTCTTCTAATAGCTCTGCTCTTATTCGTAGTCGTTTATTCCTCTCCTCCAGGTCGACAGCCATTTGTTCCATTTGCAGTTCCTTCAGCTTCCTGTTCATTCTCGATCTCTTGGACGCCTCATTATTCTTGTCCCTTAGTTTCCTGTAGCTGATCTCGTGTGTTGAGTTCTCACTGACAGCTGATACGTCGCTCTCCCTCCTCTTGGGTGGTCGGCCTCTTCTAGCTTTTGTTTGTTGCTGAGCGCCTTCTAGAGCTCTAATCATGTCTTTGATCGGTATGCTAGGCTTTCTTTTCCTATACTTCCTTGGTGAACTGCTCACAGAGTAAGGAGTGTAAGACACGTCCGAGTCCTCACTGTCGTTCCGCCTTCTCTTCCTCGAGCCCGGTTTTATATCCTCATCTGATTCAATTTGCGGTTCACTCTTGGGTGTGATAGGTTCATAGTCGACAGGGGCCGGAGGGGAATCTTCGATAATGGTGTTCTTGAAGACTATAGGATCAGTGGTCAAAGTATGCTGTGAATAAATAAGAATAATGTTAATCACAGTTATATAATATATGTATTAAAATAATTTAATAGATTCTTACCGAGCTGGGGAGTGTGCATTTCTCTTTCTCCAACTGCTCTACATAACTCAGAACCTCTGGTGTGCTGATGACTTCTCCTTGCCAGTTCTGTGTGTACCTGGCCACGTCTAGCGACAGCCCGCCGCTCCGCTTGTCGTGGTGTATGTTGTCGTTGTGGGCGGTGGACGGCTTAGTTTCTGTCTTCTCATTAATGATGTAATCTGATATAACTACGTCATTGCTCTCGACCTCCCTCGGTATAACAGATATGTATTTCGCGTCCAGGGAGTCCTCTTGGTCTATGAAGGGCATAATGTGTGTGTTCGATGTTGGTTTTGTGTAGTCTAAGTCGTCAGTGTTTTGCCAATCGAAGTCCGTGGTCTCCCACGAATTCGTCTCGGCAACACTAGCCGGCGCTAAATCATCTATCGTCATCGACAGTGTACTGATGTCTAGGAACTGTTCTTGGAACGGTATGACTTGGTTGGTAGCATTTGTATTGTATGATACATCAGTATTAAAGCCAGCAGCGATCCCCTCCTCGGGAGAGACGGGATAGCTCAGCGTTTGGTTATGAATCGAAGCTGACGGCGAATTAGCGTCCGGAACATCCCAACCTTGCGGTGAGGATGGTGTGTGCTGTGTGTCTGTGTGGTATGCCCTTGCCTTTTCGGTTATATTTTGAGAATCTGTGGATGAGAAGAGAAATTCATTTAAATAAGTGAACTTTTACTGTCCTTGTACTTTAGATTTCTTATTGTGTAATGCATTTACTCACCAATGGACTGTACTATTCCTTCCGCGACGGGTGCCGAAGTCAATTGCACCAGACCTTCTAGGAACTCGTAATCCATGTCGTGGAACATTGTGTTGCTGAATAGCAGGTCCGTTTTCAAAAATTCCTGAAACCCGATGATATCCCATATTAATTGATGAATTAACTATTTTTCAATATTTAATTTCATGTATGTAAAACTAATATAATAATGTGAATATACAAGTACTCACGACCGGCGGCGACCCCTCTTACCTCTGAAAAGCTGGTTGTTGGCGTTGGAGTAGATGTTAGCAATTCTGTTCTTGCGTTGGGGATTACTCCGCGCTGACCGTTCACCTGTTGGTTCTTTTGGAACTTTAAGCGATCTATGTCTATTAGTTTCAGAGAACGTCGAGCCTTGAGACTCGTTTGCGAAAAAACCTTGTCTTTGGTTTGAATTGAACTGTGTTCCGTTATCGTCTCCTTGACGCGGACTGACGGTGATCTTTTGAGCAACCATTTTGAATAGAACTACAAACAAAAATGGCACGACGTAACAAAATGCGGTTTTTTTATTATGAAGCAGGGATTGTGGTGGTGATATAGAGGGAAACAGTTGATGGGATAGAACAAGTTGGTGAGCATTTATAGAAAATATATGTATTTAGTTTAATTGCAACCGTATAGAGAACTATATGAAAAGGATCTCTCAGAACTATACGAGTTGCAAATAAACAAAGATAGATAGATACACAGAGTTTCGTTTACATGACAATGTATGGGATGGCATAAATATGATTAAAATAAATATAATTATTGCTTCGAGAAACAAAATGATAGTTTTAATGGTAAATTATTATTTTTTTAACAAGTCATGTAACCGTTTTTTAATGAAATGGTTGCTATTTCTCTGTAAACTAAAAACACCGTTTTGATTACTCTTTAATGAAAATTTTTATGATTTAGCGGAGTTATTTGATTTAGGCGAATTTAGAGTTGCGAAGGAAGAGAAATTTGATTCATGATTTTAGAAGAAAATAATAATGAAGGTTTGAATAAATTAACAGATTTAAATAGCAACAATTTGAAACATTACAATTACTTATATTGTATTATATAATATATTTTTGAATTTGATATGTACCGATAAATTAACAGACAAAAAATTAATGAAAACCGATTTGAATAATATTGATATATCCGCCTAAAATCTTTAAATCAAAATCTAGTCAAAAAAATATCGCTCCTATTTTTTGATTGAAGGACAAATTATTTTCAAAGTTGGTCGACGTGGGTAGTTTTCAATTTCGTTTTTCTTCGTGCGTCGTTTGTATCCTGTAACATAAAATGGTTTTAGGGGGAACAGAACCGCTACAGCGGTGGTACTTACTTTCTTGAACTCTTCTTGAGTCCCTAAGGAAATTGTAACCCTTTAGGCTCCCAACCAAGTAACTCTCTTAACAGGAATAGGCCTGTAACAAAAGAAAATCATACGTTATACACAAAAATTAACTTATTAAAACTCAATTATAGCTATAAAATACTTTAATGATTTGCTAAGACTCGGTTCTCAATAAATAAAAAAAGAAAAAAATTCTTCACATCTCATTAAAAAAAATTAAATATTTTTGGGTAAAATAAACCATTTTTTGTATAAACCATATATTGCCACGTCATCACACGTAACAAGAACCAAGTTTTAACTAATGTTTATTTGTATAAGGTCGTCAACGATATATACATATATTTAAATCAATGCAGTTATAACCCACATAAAAAACCCATTAGAAATACCGTTCGAAATTTGGAATCCGGTTTAAAATTTAAATATTAGAAATTTTAAATATTTAAAACAAGTTTAAAATTCAAAAACTTAAAACATGCAACACTAATCAACTGTAGAAATCAAGATTCGTAGAATCAAATATTAATATGTGTACATTACATCCTATTGTATATTATAATAAAAATCATGAAAAGTTTTCGGTCGACCTCGAACTGACGGACGATTAGCAACCCACGTCTATCGATTACAAGCACTTCAGAATAGCCTTTTATCGACGATTCCTATGAATCACTAAAAAACCGTACAAGTGTTGGGAATAATACCGCAATTATTAAATAAATCGTAAACATAAAGATTAAATCTGAAAATCTATTACAATTACGGAAAAATCCAAAAGAACTCAATTTATCCCAAGCCAGCCAAGAACTGATGATTGAAAGTTTGTAACCACAATACAGAAACGAAAAGAAGTTTCCAGTATAAAAAAAGTTTGGTTTATAAAGTATCCGTATACCACTTTCACTTATTAAAAAAAAATTGTATCGTCAAAAGGTCACGAGTGACGTAGGCGGTAATTCCCGTCAATAACATACAACATTCACTATATGTACCTAATTAAACAAAAAAATAATTATTAAGCATTGAACCAAAACTATACAAAAACCATTATGAGATCGTTATACACGGCAAAGGCCAATTAAAAACTTCTTATTAGCCTAATGACTTAGTGGTAACAATTTCTTAATTAACAAGATAATGGCATTTGGAAAAAGTTATTATCATTGCATGCAAATAAAGTAATAGTTAAAATAATTGAAATATTTCAGGAATTCTTAAAACAAACACACGTTATAAAACCATTCTATGATGTTCTAGAAAACATATATTACAAAATACTTGATCGGACCAAGGCGAATACGCATCAACATGTGCGCGACAAGTCGGAACTTGTTCACGTGTACTGTTATAGAAACTCAATATAATAACCATCTAACCTGGATTATATTTAATATATGATCAAAATAAATACCACAAAGTTGGTATTTATAATAGAAATAATAATAATAACATTTTTACTATCTTGCACAATATTTATTTAGAATGTTGTTCCATGTACTTACCTCAAAAAGTCTTCTTTTTGTAGGCTCGAGCGCTAAAGATATCAAGTTACTCTTTAAAATTAATGAAAAAGAAGTAACTTCAACACACGTATAAAGCAAGTGTATATCAATAATATTGATAGATTTGATATTAAAATATTTAATGTGTTTCAATCACAACGAAATCCACAATCGCCCTGTGCGAGCTCCAAAAATGTTGTGCAACAATGGTGGCTCCAATACCGATGTACTACGTAGAGTTTTCCTTAATCCCCACCATTCACGTTCAGTTCTAAAAATAAATTATACTCGATCTCCTATTGGCCACTTCACATGACGTCAACATAAGCGACCAATGAGACGGCACCGTCAGAAGCATCACGAGACAACCGCGTTTTACTTGCTATAGTATCTAGACATTTATAATACTTCTAACTTGCAAATTCCATGTTTCACGAATGTTTCAATGGAGGGGGATTTCATTGGGATTTTACACTTAACAATTCTGTCAAGCTATACAAAAATATTGAGATATTTATATTGCTTTTTGAGATCATCATTCATCATACAAAAACTATTTAAATACAGATTATTTTACTTTGTTAGTATAGTTTTATCCCTATATTGTATTTTACGAATGTACACATGGATTTTATTACAAAAAATCCATACTTGACTATATATTATGTAGTGACTGATATTATTTAAATGGTTTTTCATATAACATATTATGATATGTTATCTGAAAACCATTGTCTTTAATAATCGGTTCTTAGATTTTCAAGAGATAAAGGAAACGTCATTTAAGTATAGCTACTATAAATGAAGAAATATAAGTGATATAGATCAGATAATGAAACGTTTAACATAATATTCCTCAATTAATCACAATTGAAATTCTAATACGCTCATTAACGAACTTCATGGAAATAAAAATTAAGATAACATTACATAAAATTTGTTACTATTTATTTCCATTCTTATGCTACTTTCACTAAACTTAGAGCTGGATTTAATATTACAATTTATAAGCAACTATTTGAGAAAGTGATGCGACGTCTTTTATTTCCGGATCTAACTAGAGTTTAGTTGAATATTAGACCATGGAGAATACAAAGAATTACGGCATTAAAGGCGTCAATAAAACAATACATATTACTTAATACCAACACAAGTGATTCAGCTTAAACTTATTAAAACTATGACCGCGTCAAACAAATGATTCATTCTAAATCAAAGTTCAATGACAGTCTAAAATGTTTATTTTTTGTTAGCAAGTAACAGACTAGTTTTATATGCGGATTAAAAACTATAGCGTGTATCATAATCATGGAAAAATATATATACCGAGTAAAAACCATAACTATAACCATGAGCGAACGTTAATTATAATAATTGTGATCACACACACGATACATGCCCAAGTAAAGTAAAAACAATAGAATTATATAAAAAAGCTTCATCATGTCCTTGAATTCATTAGAAAAAGAAAAATGTTAGTAACGTTTTGAAACGAAATCTTTAAATATCAGTTACTGAACTTAGATTTAAAAAAACAACAACGTAAAAAAATGGTATAGACTTTAGATAGATTTTATATTACTAGGTAAAAAAACTCAAAAAAATTTACATGTTAAAGAACCGGCAGATTCGATTACGATCCTTACATAACTGAGTTTTGTTCATACTTTTCTAGACGTAGTTTCTTGACTGCTTAAATGATTATTAAGAATTCCAAACAAAAACTACAGTACGTAATGACTTGCGTTAGATATCATATATGGTTATTATGTGTTATTACCTAGGAAATATGACGTGCTAAAGTAACATACCTACCTGAAATAATAAATAAAAAAATAATTGTCTCAGATGTAAACGTTCTAACCCATCCGGGCCCCTGAAATGTCAAGGTTTCTGTATCACCATGGGTTTTGTTTAAAAATATAATATTATTGTTTATTTAATGCGATGTTTTTGCTGTGGCATAACTGATCACTCATTGAAATGGTATGGTAAAGATGGTTATGTAAAAAGAGAAAAAATGCATCTAAACTAGTTATAATATTAAAAATTAATATTTATTATTATTTCTTAGAACGAGAGCTGGCTGTAAAACAAACATAGAAGTTTCTGTTTATGAAAAATAACTATATCCATAAAATTATCTTTTTTGCATTCAAAGGAAATCAGTGAACACGTGTATTGTATTTCATTACAAAAATGACGTCTTCCCGCCGACAATTGAACCTTTTACTAAAAATTGATGTTTAATTTCTTTCCATATGTAAATAATTTTCATATTATATTGCCTCTAAAGCCAAACAAATATTTACTTTTATATAACTGATTTAATTTCGTTTCGTATCGTAAAAAAGCGCCATCAATTTTACCTAATGAAAATTAATCTAACAATATTCCAAAGAGCTAGTTAATAATTATTAGTTCATCTGTGATTTATTACAAAGTACTCCAAGTTTGAACTTTGGCTTTGAGAATAGATATCTACATAGTAAGGGCAAAGGTCTCCTTGATACTAAGAAATTTCAACATTAAACCGGTTTGAATAAAATAAATTGGTTCCTACTTTCTTAATGACCAGAAAATTTATAAGTGGTGACATTTCCACTTAAATGT